TGTAAAGTTAGGGATGAGGGGGTGTGTGGAGGAGATAAGAAGCATTACAGAGAGACACACATCAGACAGCTCCGTGGATGTCTGTGTTTATGTGTGTGTGTGTGTGTGTGTGTGTGTGTGTGTGTGTGTGTGCGTTTGCGTTTGAAGGCTGGAAGTGTAAAGGAAGCACAGTCACTGCGTAGGGAAATACAAAAGTAGCTAAAATTGGAGACAGCCAATCTGCCTTCCTGGGCTTAAGTCATTTGCTTGTGTTCAGAGACCAGTGAACTGCACCCGTAAGACCTGGTTTATATGCAAATGAGGCTTGCATCTTTAATGCCTAAAGGCTACAATATAGTGTGTGTGCATCTCAACACTGCCCTTTGGAGTCCATTCAGCCCCAATTAAAAAGAGCTAGGATTAATTGGCAGTACAGGGTCAAAATTCATTCATCCAACCCCCAACCCACCGGCTTTTCACTCTCTTTTCATCCCATCCCCCATTCCTTACATCCAACTATCCCTCCCTCCGGCCCTTCTGCGGAAGGAGAGCTCCATAAGACAGCGTCTATGAGCATTAAATCATCCCCAACATCAGCGAGAGTTTGCGCGAGGTAATGCATTCATTGATTTGCATATTGCGGAGAAGAGCGGTTGGCTCTCGTGTTTACAGTACGTGTAAATATGTAATGGGAAGATAATGAGCTGTGCTTTCGGACGCATACGAACACACTGCAGGCCCGCAGGACGATACACTACCAGTACATTTCTGCAAACAACACAGAGCGAATGCATAATGGCTATTGTCTGCTAACAGCCATGTGGAAGTATTGTTTATGTACAGAAATTACCTGATATTGTATAAACAAAAGTACTATTATTATCATTAGTCTAAATCCATAGAATTAATAAGATCAAATATTATATATATATAGACATTTCATGGTCTAAACATGACCGAAAAAATGTTCATCCGTTTTTTTATGCACACAATACATAGTGTATAGCTTAATAAAAAAAACACTGTTAATAAACTAAAATAAAATAATGACCAAACAGAAAGTTAAAAAATAAAACAGTTCAATATTTGGCCACTTTATATTATCAGCATTGACTGAAAAACACAGTAGCTATGCTAATATTGATTTTATATACATTTTCACACTGACGTTTATTTGTGATGCAGAATGCACTAAGACAATTTCTATCATTTTAAAAAGCATTTTATGTCAATATTTGATTAAATGTTGCATCCAATAAGTGTTTTGTAGCAATCCAATAAGAGTTCAATCCAATAAGTGTTCATTATATATATGTGGGCAGTATATCAGCCACCTCTCATTCTCTAGATATAAGCTTCAGTATTGGCTATTGAAAAACCCAATTTGTTTGCCTATAATAAAAAGGATGAATATTAAAGAATGGTGACAGAAGAGGAGATTTATAATAGAGTCAGAAAAAATAATGAGGAAGAAAATGGCTCAGGGTAATCTCTCAGATGGAGCGTCCGCATATTAAGTTAACCTGTTCAGGTTCCGTTCTTCCATCCTGTTAGAGCAGTCTGACTTCTTCTATGCTGGCTGCATACGCTTAGAGAAGTATCCAGTTGGAGAGAAGGAAAAACTACCCTCCTCCTCCTCCTCCTCCTGAGGTGCTCATGAGTCCACTCACAAAGTCAGAAGACCTCGCTACATGCAATATTCCCACTGCACTTTGAAATGCAGAAGCCCTGCTCTCGCTCTCGGCAGACCAGCCGTACTTCTTTCTTTTATTTATTTTTTTATAAGATGGGGCGCTGCATATGCTCAATAATGAGAGGTAGTGCTGAGGGCGGCGCCACGTTACACGGTGAAGTATATTTCAAATTTACATGCTGTGAACGAGACAAAAATGCAAAGAAAGAATGAAAAGAATGAAAGAAAAAGAAAGGGCATCTACTGTATAACTCAAGTCTTTCTTCATGGATAATAAATAAAAGCAGCTGTGTTTCTAGTATTTCTTTCTCAGCGCTCTGCTGACTCTTTTCATCTGTTTATTTCCACATCTGACTGTTTTCTTCCTTTTGCTTGTCCACTGCTTTTGGTCTCCTGTAGCCTTTCTTTTTTTCCCCCTCTATTTTTTTCCATGCTCTTTCCTCCTGTGCTCTTTCCTGTTCTCTGAGAATATGAGATGAGCTAATCAGCTCCATGGGCTCAGCGGAGGGACGCTGGGATTTCTGCATCTAAGATCTGATCGATCGCTGCCTAGGGCAAGAATCATTTTCCTCCTCTCAGACTGACACACACACTCACACACACACACAAACATACATACACATGAAGTACACTCAATATGTGAGGCTGTATCAGTCTTGCTATCCTTCTATCACTCCACTTTTCCTCATCGGGTGGAGGGAAGCCACTGGAGGTTTGCATTGGAGCTAATTAAGGGGACAGGTAACCTCGGACAGGGGATTTAACACAAGCCTGAAAATCCCTTACTCGTTGACGGTGATACCGGTGTTAAGCCGCAACACCGGTTACGTCACTTGCCCACCGCGTCACCGACCCCCACCATCAATTTGATTTTTTATAGTAATAAAAATTATTTAGTTCAGTAAAAGAACAGACACTACAATTAAAAACTGAACGCGGCTACTCAATGCAGCGTGCCGAACGACAGTCGCGTCACAGATCAGATTTAATTTCTCCAGTGAGGAGAGTGAGTCGAGCTGACTGACAAGAAGAGTGAGGTGAGATAGACAAGACAATCGCGGATGATTTAGTTTCGAAACGAAATGCAAAAGCGCCTGTTTGGCAATATTTTGGATTTTGAAAAGCCTGTTGACTTTTGCCGTTTATATAAGGTGATTTTGGAAGTTTTTTTTAAACATTCGTTTCTTATTGAATTGGTTCCACGGGCACACCACTTTTACAAGCTATTTAAAAGCGAAGGAAAGTGAGGAAAAGAGGGATCGCCCCGCCCCCGCGGTGATACCGGTATTACCGGTGTTGTCACACGTCGATTAACCGGTGGAAAAATTTCCTCACCGTCACAACCCTAATATACAGGGCCTAAAATTAACACTGGCCAAGCGCCAAATGCGAGTAAAAAATCGCCGTTGGCGAGTATATGTAACACTGTCAGTCGCCAGTTGTCCCTAGACACGGTTCTAATAACTTTTATCTGAGAAGATTTTGCTGCTTCATTTTGGAAGATTAACTTTTCCCTTCTTTATTCTTCATAACCCGAGAATGCGGCGACACTGGGGTTATGTCGCCTAAACGGTGTAGTTAATGTTGAATGGATATAATTAATAGGGAAAATTGAGGGAAAATGCACCAGCAGGACAAATTAAAAATATTGTAAATATATTTAGTCATTGTAGTAGTAATAACTGCCTGTTTTTGCTAAAAGAGTTTCATGGCCGGTAAAAAAATTTTTTTTAACACACTGGCAGGTGTGGCAAAAAGTTAGTTTTAGGCCCTGTATATATATATATATATAATTCAACTTTGCATCACAGGAATAAATTACACTTTAAATATATATTCAAACAGAAACAGCTATTTTAAATTGTAATATTATTTTCCAATTTAATTGTTGATCACATTTTAATTATTTCAAAGTGTATGTATGCACAATTATTTACGTGCATAAATAACGTCATTTATTGAAAAAAGTAGCAAATACATAGTAGGTGCAAAACATTTGTACAAATGTTTCTTTTTACCAATTTTTCCCTCACAATATTACTATATTTCTTCTTAAATATGACTTAATTCTGAAAATTATCACTACATTAATTTTTCATTTGGACTTTATTAAGATTTTAAAAAATAAATGAATAAAATTAAATCAAATAAAATACTTCTCATCTTCAGTAACTCGCACTGCTGCCTGAAGGTGGGAAAAAATCATTTTGGGTTGATCTATAATGGTTATATCTGGGGTCTTCTTCAATAAGGTGTGTGAGTGTGTGTGTGTGTGCATTTGTTAAGTTGCCTGGGAGGAACAGAGAGCGTATCAGCGGGGTGCTTTCACTCTAGTCTGCCTTTGCAATTAAAAAACTCCACACACCTCTCAGACATGTTAACCTACACAGCTCACAGCTATATTCATGCACAGTGCAATTACATTACAACCTACAGTGCAGTTCACTTCATTTATTTCCACACAGAGGAGAGGAGGGGAAGGGACGAGTAGTGAGAGAGAGAGAGAGAGAGAGAGAGAGAGAGAGAGTCACACGGCAGTTTTAATAAGTTCAGCTTCAGTGGCTGCATTAACTTCAGATGGAAATGAGCTGTTCTCAGTGAGTCCTCATCAATGAGGAGACGAGATCCTGGCACTGAGAGAGCGTTACAGCCAGACACTGATCGCCTGAGGACGCCAAGGTCATACAGTGTTAGTAAAGTGTGTGAGAGACACTGGACACAGAGAAAGAGAGATCAAACAAGAAAGAAACAGAAAGCAAAAGAGAATGAATGACTTCATGAGAAAGAAAGAAAGAAAGAAAGAAAAAAAGAAAGAAAGAAAAGAAAGAAAGAATTTTTAAGTTATATGGCATGTTTATATATACCCTACTATAACAAATGTATTTCGTCTTGTAAAATTTATCATTGCAAGTTATACAAAAAAAATCATAATTTAAATATATGTATACTACAGGGTTATAATAGTTAACTAAAATGAAAACTAAAAAAGCCATTCCCATTACTTTAAATAAAATAAATAATAACTGAAATAAAATATAAATAACTTTAGTTGCCAAAGCAGCATTTCTCATTCTAATTAAGCTTAACAATGTACTAACATAATTAAAAGTAAAACTGAAATACAAATGAATATAAATTATATAAACATATAAAACCATATAGAGTATTTTATGAATCATAAAACATTTTTTCAATAGACTTAAAAAAAAAACTAATAAAAATTAAAAAACAAAATTACTAAAAATGAAATGACAGTAGAAATAACAAAAAAGGTTAAACATTTTAATAAAAACTGATAGTATCTCAGTGTTACTATAATAACACTGATATATTAATATATGCATTTTCATTTTTCGTATTGTAAAAACTTAATAAAAAACTAATGAAATTTTTTTAATCCTTAAAAAAATATTATGTATATATAAATACAAACAAATGCATGTATATATTTAAGAAAAATATGTTATGTTTATATATTAAACATGTTTATATATAATATAAAATATAATAATATAAATATATAATGAATGTTTGTGTGTTTATATATACATAAATACACAGTACACAATACACATTTTATTTTGGATGTGATTAATCGTTTGACAGCACTAATATATATACATATATATACCACTGTTTCCACAAAAATATCAAGCAGCACAACTGTTATTAACATTGATAATTATAAGAAATGTATTTTGAGCAGCAAATCAGCATATTACAATGATTTCTGAAGGATCATGTGACACTGAGGACTAAAGTAATGACTTGAATAAATTGCATAAAGAATAAATTGCATTCTTAAAACATTTTAAGTATATTTAAAATATTTTAAAATATTACTGTATTTTTAATCAAGTTAATCTAGCCTTGAATGAATGAATGAATGAAGCAAGGGCCAGTGGAGGGAATTTGGCCAGGACACCGGGGTTACACCCCTTCTCTTTACGAGAAGTGCCATTGGATTTTTAATGACCACAGAGAGTCAGGACCTCGGTTTAACGTCTTATCCGAAATACGGTGCTTTTTGTCAGTATAGTGTCCCCGTCACTTATACAGGGGCATTAGGACAGACCACATGGTGAGCACCCCCTGCTGGTCTCACTAACACCTCTTCCAGCAGTCAACAGACACCCCGAAACAGATGGAGAACGGCTGAGGCTTTTCTGAGAGAAGATGATGCTGGATGTGTACAGTGACAGTGTGTTAGTGATGTGTGACACTCATAAGTCATTCTGAATATCACTGCTGCTGTATGAGACCTGAGGATCATGGCTCTGTACTGCACACTAAACTCTCTACTATTTTTTTTTTTTTTAAGATAAAAACAAATAGATTTTTCAAACTGATTTTTCTGATAAAAAAGACTTGTGATAATACATTAAAATGACTATGGAATTAATTAATTAAAACTTTTTAAAATATTTTTAATATTACTAAAATATCTAACAACATAATAAATTACTAAGTGTAAATTGTAAAATAAAAATTAAAAAATTAAATAAATATTGAGCATTTAAGAAAAATCTGAGATACTGAAAACACCAATCGTGTGCTGCTCACGTTTAAAAGAACACAGTGACGTGCTTTACTCTGAAACACGCAACACATATTTCTATAAAACAAATAGCATTGAAACAACACATATTATGCAAATAAATAGATGGTAAGTTTAAAATGTTTTCATAATAAGAAAAATCACATTTTTCGACCATTATTTGTAATATTAACTAGGGCTGCACGATAAATCGCATGCGATATTTAAGGAAAACTTGAAATCGCATCATATGACCCCTTTAAGAAAATGTGAGTGGTTTACCCATGAAAGTAACAAAACATTTCAAAAAAGCTATCTCTTTGTCACATGACCTCTTAGTGTGCATGGTGACATCCAGTTATCATATCTACAATAAAATAGATTATTTTCCCAATTTCACTCCAGTAAAAAATTTGTCGAAAAATCACAACTTACATTATTTAAAGTTAAAATTATAGATCATCCATAAAATCACTTATATGCATGGTTTACGTGTTAAAAATGTGCATGCTATGCACTTTATACATACTATATACTGCACAAATAGAATGAAATCAAATATACAGATATTGATGGGAGATATTTTTGTCAAACTAGTCTTATTTGTGGCTAAGTAACACTCCAAAGAGAAAGGAAAACTTGAAATCGCATCATATGACCCCTTTAAGAAAATGTGAGTGGTTTACCCATGAAAGTAACAAAACATTTAAAAAAAGCTATCTCTTTGTCACATGACCTCTTAGTGTGCATGGTGACATCCAGTTATCATATCTACAATAAAATAGATTATTTTCCCAATTTCACTCCAGTAAAAAATTTGTCGAAAAATCACAACTTACATTATTTAAAGTTAAAATTATAGATCATCCATAAAATCACTTATATGCATGGTTTACGTGTTAAAAATGTGCATGCTATGCACTTTATACATACTATATACTGCACAAATAGAATGAAATCAAACTAGTATTTTTGTCAAACTAGTCTTATTTGTGGCTAAAAAAATGCGTACAAAAATATGTGGGATTATGGCACTGTCAGGCAATACAAAATCTCTGACGTATACTGGCTTCTTCTGAATGACAAATCAGAAAAAGAGATGTATGATGGCATCATATTCCTCACATATAAATAATTCACTTGTCGTCCTCATGTCCTCACCCTCAGAAAATTCACAGCAGCAGGATTCAGCCGCTTGTTAGTGGATGAGGGTGAGCACGTCTGTTTGGATACAGCAGTGGATGGAATATTCTGAGTTGCTTGTGTCACACAGAGACGCTGTCACTCTTCCTCACTGCCTCTGACAATTAAATCAGCCCCTCATGTGTATATTTACGAGACCTCTCAGTGTGTGAAAACACTTTCATTCTCAGGGGACGGCTGTGATGCCTGTCCTACAGTATCTCCACTAGGCGCATGCAAAACAATGGTATCTGCAATTAAACTCGGGACAGCACGCAGGCTGAAGATCCA